TTTTGTATACTTTTTTGAATACTGAAGTTCCGAAAGCTTTTCACTGTGGAAAATTCTAAACCTGTACATTTCAATATTAATTTGCAATTGCAAACAGTTCATATATTTTGCTTAAGCACACTATTCTAAATTTCAGTTGTTGAGAAAAGTAACCGTTGTAAGTTTTGTTTTAAAGTCTTTCCCATAAGAGGGCTAAAGCCATGTGTTGTAGCAATAATGCGAGTAGAAGTAAAGTTAGTACTGTAAAATTTAAACAATATTTTTAATCAATGAGCCAAGTTCTTCAAGAAGCAGTTGTAGAAATAGCTGGATAGAAGTTTTTTTATTTAAAACTTTTTATAGAATTTCTTTAAAAACACAATTGTTAATCTGGGCATTTGGCGATACAACCATTATAGAATTGAAGGATTTGTTACGTCAAGCGCTCAGGTATCATAATTTTGATCTAGTTGCACTTCTATGCCATTTTGATTTATGTTGCTAAGTTAACTTTCAAAAAATTCTATGGCTGGCAACAGCACTTATATTTTTTAAGTTGTTTATTTTTATTTCTTTTACAATTCGTTCTTTTTTTAGCGAAGTGTTTTTTAACCTGACAGAATTCTTTGCCGATTGTTATCCGTATATATGAAGAAAATAAAGTAAATATTTAAGTGTTGTGAAAAGTCTTATTTAGTTGTACAAAGTACTTCTTTAAAAATGAAAACTGTTGCCACCAGCGGAAAAGAAATACAGCCAAAATTTGGGAGCCACGTAAGAAAATTATATATATTAGATTATTTGCATTTAATAGATAATTACATAAAATTTAGAGTATTGATGTTAGAAAAATTAATATTTGAAGTTATTGAGGTATCAATATATGTATGTTTTAATTTGCAATCTTTTAATTTAGGGTACTTTTAAAAAATTGAACTAATTTTGAGGAGTAGCTCATGAAGGATGGCTTAATAAAGTTTCATACCATACATTTTTTTCCTTCATATTCTGCAGATTTGAAGTATCCTGCCTAAAATTTACAATTTTAAAATAAAAGTTAATTGTTGTAAATTCATTATTAAACTATGTTTATCTTATTATTTTTTTTTAAAAAAAAACTAATATCTAAAGTCACTAAAATACATTAATATTAAAACAGAAAGGAAAAAAATAATAATTATAAAAATTTAACGAATAGAAAAGAAGATTAATGAAGCAATAAAAAAAATTGTATTTTAACACAGAATTTTTTATTATAAAACTAAAAATATAAATTTATGAAATTTGGACCAAATTGTACCTATTTATATAGGCTAATAATTAATAATTTTTTTACCACGTTAATGAAAAATAAAGATTAAGTAAATACTAAGACTTCGTGCAAAACTACAAAAATTAATCATGAAATAACTGTTAAAAACAAAAGAAATTTAATTTTCTTGCAATATATTGAATTTTATTTTTGTTGTACTTGTAACTACATAATTTTGTTCATTATTTTTAGCTCTTTTCATTTCATCAAGCTTCTTTTTTTAATTTTTAAGATAATACTATATACACTCATTCGCAATAAACTCGGCAGTAACTACAGAGGAAAATTGTGCTCAACACGAACAAGTAGCGCTGTTTGTCATATTATGTTGCTATGAGGGTCAATAACATAACACATATTAGCAAACAGCCAATTTTTAGTTATAAATTTTCCTAATTAGGGATTTACTGCGTTAATGCATTCTTCAACTTTGTACAGGTTAATAAAAATGTTCACTTAGTTATCATATGGTTACAACATTACTATACATTCTGTTAAAAAAAAACATTTAAATAAATTTATTGTAAACGAAAGTTGGAACAATTTGAATTGGACATCTAATTAAATAATTTGAAATTTTTATGTAACAGTCTGTTTGTTGTTAAAAAAATAAACCTAATAGCATAGCATTCTCAAGCTTTCCTCCAGGTTACATTTCAACAAAACAAGTGACAAATAGTACTAATCTTTCAACTTTGATGTTAGAAGCAAGCTACATAAGAGTCAGCCATCCTAAGAAAACCCGAAATACCCCTTTTTTTAAAAATAAAAACGTGATAAATGCTTGTTTCAGTTATTATTTGTTAATTAATATGTTATTTATTAATTAATATATTATTTATTATATATTTATAAATTACTCAGCCAGTCACCAACTCTTGTAATTGCTTCTCATTCATCATTGTTTTTTTTATTCTTTAAAGACCGATATTTCCTACAAAAGATCGAATATTTTGTTTTCAAAATATACAATCATTTTATTAACATGTTAATCATAACGATTAACTTGATTTGAAATGCAATCATACGAACTTGATGAAAAAACTCTACCTAATGAACAGAAAATGAATGATTCAACAAGAATTAAAAGATAGGTAATTTTATTTGTTGACGAAATTTATAACAATTTAAATAGGAAACTGTTCTTATCACTATATATTAAGTTTTTTTCCCCCAACATATCTTGAAACTTAAAGTTTCTAAGTTTTACTGAATTTGAGCAGCAAAACAAAATGTAATGCAAACTTAAAAGTAATAAAAAAATTAGCGAAATAAGCTTTCAAAGTCTAAAAAAGCTAAATAATAAGCTAAGTATTATAATTTTTGTCCTCTTATATTCATTTTCCTCTTTATCTTATAGTTTTTAAACAAGATGTAAGGTTAAATTGAACACCCAAAACAGCGTTAAGAATTTTTAATATATAAAGATTGTATATTAATTTTGTTTAAATAATTTTCATTTTCCATAACAGATCAAAAATGGGACGAGATTCTAAATAAACTAGTAATCCTATTCCCTCATTAATTGCGTAACAAAATTTTCTGCTAATCTTCATGCTGCATCTTCATGCTAATTTGAATTTGCATTAAGGCCTAGCTAGTTATTTTATTGTTTTGCAATTAGTTGCATCTGTCCAATATAAATATTTTCAAATTATTAAGAAAATTATTTTTTAAACCGAAGTTATAAATTTAAAATCTTTGATTATTATTATTTTTTCTCTTAATACTTTAAGTTATTTCATTTTACTACTTCATTAATAATATGGTTTTGATTCTTAAACAGAAAAATTTTGCAAGCAATTCTACTTCAAATTATAATTAATTAAACTTCAGCATTTTTTAAATTTAAGCAAACAAGTTTATTTATATTTGCTTAAGTTTCATAAAAATTAATTTGAGATACGATTAAATCTGTACAATACTATCTGCAGCTAATGAAACTTGTAGACATTAAAAATTTAAATTACTAATTGTTTTATTAACATATGTGAAGAAAAAAAAATTCTAGGCCACATTTAGCCTAGACGAAATGTAGAATGTAATTGTAATAATTTTAGAAAAGGTTTTGTAAAATTAATATTCTTAAAATAAATGTTCGAAATCCTCTTAATTACTTTGATTTTAAAGTACTTAAGAAATCAATGGCTAAAGCATGAAATAATTATTGCTGATTCGCATAATTTTAATATTGGATCATATTAATTCTATTATTAAAATTTTTCTAATTTTAAGAAAAATTTTATTATTGTAAAAATTTTAAAAAATCATCACTTTCAAAAGAATAAAAATAAAGTTTTTTATTTAGTATACAGTACACCATTTCAACCATTGTGTTACTATAAATTGTTAAAATATAATTTTGTGCAAATTTACTTGCAAATAAAACAGCGACCAACATAGTTAAGTAATCATACACTAAAATAGATTTGATGATTTTTTTTTAAAGAAAGTTTAAATTTTGTCTATAAAAAATTTAAACTGATTTTCATGACTAAAGTTTAGTTTCATAAGAAAATTTCTTTATTCTAATGTTTAAGTTTTTACCAAAAAAGTATTAATAATATGATAATAATTGAAAATGCATGTAGAGTAATTTTTTTTTTCTTTTATGTGAGTTTACCTCAACAAAAAGTATACTAGGACTGAGTTAAAAATTAGGACGATGCCAGGGTGATATGAAGAAACTTTTGACCTACTACAACTTGGTTTGTGACTAGGGGGTGAGGGTGTGCTTACAGATTTTACCTAAATCAGTTAGTTAAATACTTTTTGATGATAAATATTAATTTTTTTTCATCCTACATTTTAAAATGCTGAGATCTATTTTTTCTTCTGATACATTTGTTTTGTATTCTGGTTCATTTTATTTTTTATTGAAAAAATTTATACTAATTATGGTTTGAATTAATTCCTTGATAAAAGTTTAAATCTGAAAGGAAAACGTTTATGCTTTAAAAAATAATGCAGGCTATTTTCACAAAATATAAATAGTTTAAAAAAAAAGAAAGAAACAAATATGAAATTAATGCTGCTGAACCAGAAGTAAATGAAAGTTCATTATGGAATTCCTCTCTCCTCTATTTTATATTTTAATTGCTACTGTTTTCTAATAACTTTCTTTTATTAATATTACATTCCTATTGTCTTTTAAATACAGTTTCGGTTGTAAGCCTCAATTTTATTTCATGCAGAATAAATGCATGTATAATCCTTGTTATTCTAGTGTTCATTAATTTTGGTTGTCTTATCTTAAAATCATTTTAATATTTGATGAGGTAGCAGAAAAAAAAATATTAACTATGAGAAAAATTTACAAAATAATAAAACTATAGCTGGCTTTCTATGAAATGTGGTTGACTTATCTATTATGTTTTGGATCATACCCAAAAGTCCCAACAAAAGAAGGTGAAAGTTGCAGGAATGTATTGAACAACATTTCTTTTCAATAACATTTCCACTGTATTCGAAATTCGTTCTACGATCTTTAGTTAATTTAAATTTCCGTTAATTTTTATTGTTTTATATAGATTTATATATTTAAATGCAGCATTGAAATTTACATTAATTCTATTTCTTTTATGTAATGTCATATTGTATATTAATTTTACGTTTTCTATAGTCTTTTCAATATTTATTTTAAGATTTGCATAAATTGAATTTTGCGAAATATTTGCTTATCTAAAACCAACATTTCTCTATCGTATCAGTTATTTTAGAGTCTACTGTATAAATAAGAAATTTCATACATATTAAAGAAGTAACATTCTGTGTTTGAAATAAATTGTCTTTAAATGTGGAAACTATTTGTATTACTTATTTTTTAAAATAGGGTGAGAGAAAAGAAAGGGTGAAAAGAGATTTATTGAAGAGAATCCAGCGCCATCCGTTTGATTTTGATTCACTTGAAGTTAAAAGTATATTGATGTTTCTGTTTCTTTTTATAGTGTCTTACATTTAAATGCTGTAAAATATAACATGCTTAATTCTGAATTTATAAATTTAAAATTTCAGTTGCCTTAAAGAATATTAAAATCAGATCTCTTTATGAATATCATGCAGAATTTTATAGAAAGGTAATTTTTCTGCATTTTTTAAATCTATATTTTTAAATCTGTATGTTTTTAAATATTTTACAAGCACTTGTTAATCATGCTCTTGGTTTTTTATCCTCTTTATTTTAAAAACCATTTTTTAAAAGAAATTTTCATCAAACAGGAAAAAAAAAACAACAAGCATAACTCCTGTTTTGGGTTGTTATATATGCAATTCCTACTAACGAGATGTCACATCATTTACATATTCGCATTTGTGCGGTTGCGCCTACACCATTTTTTTAAAAAACAACTTTAAATTTGTTTTTTCTCAGCAAATAACAAAAAATTAAACAAAACATATGTTAATTAATAGAATAATATTTGTTATAATAAGTTAATAAATTAAAGTAGTAAATAAATAAAATGTTGAAAGTTAAATATTATTTTGCGCATCTTGCAACTCAATGTAACTTTAATTTTACAAGTTTCCCCCTTCTTTGAATTTTACATTAAGAAAAGTCTCTAAAAAGTTTCTAATTGTAAATTATTATATTTTTTTTTGCTTTTAAAAGTCTCTATTTTGCCATTCAAAAGACTTAAATTACTTTAATAAAGAAAGTTAAATGTTTTTCATAAGTTTTTCCTACTTTATTGCTTAAGTAATGAAGAGACATTTAAATTTTACATTGGAAAACAAAAATTGCAAAATTTCAGTTGATTAGCTGAACTGTATCTGTAATTATGTATTAATTTATTATTGAAGTTTTAAAAATTTTATTTCTTTACTTTAATTTTTATATAATGACGTGATTTGAATGTCTTTAAAATATTGAAAAGTCTTTATAAATTCTTTAAATTTATTACCCGGTTTTATTTACTTAAAATGAAGAACAATAAAGATTTTCTTGAAGGGTAATGATTCGTGGTTAGTGAAACAGTTTAAACAATTTTAAAATCTCAAACTGTAAAACAAACTACAAATAAGTTTAAAGAAATAATTTTTCTAAAACTCCATATTTTTAATTTTAAAAATATTATTTTATAAAATTTTAAATTACATAATATTACATAAATAATATTGCATAATATTACATAAATAATATTACATAAATGTTTTGATGTACAAATTGTTATTTACTTCATATATGTAATTTATTTTACACATGATAGCAAATATTGTTTTACACTAATACATCATTTCATCATCAATATATCTTACAATTCTTTTTTTTTTTTAGTAAAAAATAGTCTTTTCTGTTAAGGTCACAGAGAAATCTGAATTCATGAAGATAGTGCTAGTCTCAAAAAATTCTGCCACCAGGATTATTATAGGAATTGATTGAAATTAGCTATTGTTGCACTTATTTGCAGGGGTGGTAAAAATCTTGATTGCTACGGTGCCCTAAAAGTTGCAACTTTTACATAAATTTTTAGTAGGTTTTAATATTGCCCAGAGCTCGAACATGAATTTAAAAGAGTACAAATTAAAAAAGGGTGAACAGGATTGCACTGAGACTATTGATACCTTTCAGATGCATTATAAAAAATAAAAAAAACAGGGAAATGAGTTGTATAGGCAGTCTATAGATACAATGAAGCATGCAGATGAGAAGTTTACTTCTTGATAATAGTGTTGGAAAGATGGATGCACTCATGTAAATGCTTTTTAAAATTACTGAACTCTTGCCTTCACAAATCATTAATGAATGCAAATTCAGCAACAATGGCTTGTTTAAATTATTGGATTTCTGTATTTCATATCCAGCACACTACCAGTCTCTTCAAACTTCTATACCCAAGACAATGTGGTATTTAGAAATGTAACATTATTATATTAAATGTTGCACTTAAGTTACGAATTCAGCTTCATAATAACTATGTACTTAAGTTACACAATTTTCTGTGTTTCATTGTATCTGACCATATAATGTGAAAATCCTTTTTCTGTTTTCCTTCACGCCAATCATTATACGTTACACCTGCTATATATATAAATTTGAAATGTCCCAGTGGGTTCATGTCTCTGTTTATTTGACATAAAAATCCACCTTTCTAATAAATTTTGTTAGAGAGAATTTTGCTAAGTGTTATCATTTACCCTGATTTTAACACTATCTCAGATTCATAATGCATACTGGAAAATTTTCCTACAAATTGCAGTATCGCTAATAGAGGGGACATGAAGTTAGTATTACAGTTAGCTTAATGTGTGATACAAAATCTCTCTTTTAATTCTTGAGTTTTAGATCTGCTATTTCTGAATTTTAAGCTAAAGGCATACAAGTTTTTCCTGTGTAAATCAATTTATATGTTAATAAGTAGTGCATAATGTAATTTTTGTACAATTTTAGCTATAAATGATGCACATTGAACAGTTGCCAAAATTTTGCTCAGAGTTAATTCATAAACAAAGTACAAATGTTTTTGCCTTAAAAAATCAATAATGGTTACCCATTTTTTTAAATAGTTTTTGTGCACTGTAGCTTTTACCTTTGATAATTTCAGATAACTGTGGTTTATTAATGAGTCCTCTGATTTAACTAACTGATTTCTACTGTTGTTACATTCTCACTGTAAACTAGTTCAACTCTATTTTCTTTTCTTCTATATTATGTTTATTAGCAAATAAATCTGAAATTTTTCTAGGAAACTCGAATCAGTAGAAAACTACTGCCTATTTTGATCCAAAGGCGAACTGGGCAATTGAACAGACTGCGTAAAATTAACGAAGCAAGATTCAATTGGCTTCTGAAGGAATTGGATCTCTCTTTCACGCCTCCGAAGTTGGGTTTGAAAGTAGATAGGTACTTAAAAAGTGGGATTTGCGTAGGCTAACTAAAGAATACTGTGAGAAGACTATAGCAAGTAAAAAGGAAGCATACCACGAAGAGTTAAAGAAAGAACAAGAAGCATTTCTTGAAGAGAAGAGACAAATTTTAGCCTGGATTGAAGCCGAAGAAAAAGCCTTGAAATCGGACAATGTATAGTGATTGCATAAGTACAGCATTTCATTATTTAGTACATTAATAAACAATTTATGACGTTCATGTCAAATTTTACTCATAAAATCAAGAGTAACATTTATTTGTGTTAATTTTACGCTAACAATGTTTTGATATTATTAAAAAATATGTGACCTTTTTGTTATATTGATGCGGACAACACATTAAAAAGGATTATATGTTATTTAAATGCATTATTTTCATACTTTAAAAAAAATTTCATTTTAACTAACATATGTTTTGCAATCATTTGACATAAAAACAGAAAATGCAACTTTTTAATATTGTTTTTTTATGACATTTTATAATCATTCTGCCAATCACATAGTCAAATTGGGGTTTGAAAAGGCATTCAAAAAGACAAGTCGCCAAAAAAATTATGAATGTGTAAGAAGTCATTTTTGGAGATATCTGTTAGCTTCATAGAAAATCCCTGGAGAAATATAAATGCGCAGTACGAGGTATTGTTTCAGATGTAGTTTTTTTCCCGCTAGATAGAATGAAGCAAGCTACTGGACGATAAAACTGAAATTTTAAAAAGATATAAAGGTTTTATGTACAAAAATTACAA